CAGTTCAGGTAAAAAGCAAAACACAGATTTTTATTTTATTGCTCTGTCCCAGGTGATAGTCTCATACAGTTGGGTCAACCTGCATGATAATTCACTTCATTACCTAAAGTAACTTGCCTATTTATTGCCTGGTCCTGCATTTCTTGTGTATCCAATGCTTCCTCGGTGTTTTCTGAGCCTGTTTGAGTGTCAGCCCTGCACTAAATTGGTGACCAGCTTGCTCACTGGTGTTGCTTTTACAGTCCCTGCGTGAAAGTCTGCTGGAGCCTCAGTTTGCTGGCCGTGCACAACTTCTCTAACTCTTTAATGGAGGCTGGCTTGTTTATGGTTGGATGAATGCACAAAGAAAAGTGTTTATGTAAAATAAGCAGCATTGTAATTGTACACTGGAAGGAAAAGGTTTTGATTTTCTTTGGCTCAGATGGGGGCTGCATTTACAGCTTTCCAGAATTGAACCCGGTGGCTTTTTCTCCTTGTGTGACTCAGGTGTTGAGGTGATCTCAGCCCCAAGTTACCATGTATGGTCTTGCTCCCTTGATGAGGAAATTTGACTTAAACAGTTTCAGATGCTGGAAAACCACTCGTGTGATAATTTCCTATTGTGCTTGTGTGAAAGGTGTAAGGTAGCCTTAAAGACCCACTGCCACCTTATGGCAGTTGCTGAAAAGCAGCTTCTTCAGAGCCAATTCTGTATACACATCATGCTTGCTTCATTTCTCCCTTCTTAACTAGTGAGATTTGCATGAAGGCTGGAGCTTTGTTTTTAAAGAGTTCATCTGCTCCTTCTGTTCCATGCAGAAATTTTATAATGTCAGCAGAATTGCTTGTAGAGCCATCAACTGTGATATTTCATAGCCGAGTTCATGATTTGGGGAGAGATACAAAAGCATCATGAGGCACTGATTCTCCTCCAGTGAAGAACTTGCTTATTTTCACGTGAATGCTCTAATCCTTTAAAAAAATAGGTGTGAGGTCAAAGAACAGGGACAACGTTGAACACGTGATGCTCATCGGCAAAATCTACACCCGAGCTCCAGCGTTTGTTTCAGTGAAGTGTTGCAGCAGAAGCAAGATTGAATGTGAGCAGCCATTTTTACAGCCGGCTCTGCTGGCAGAAGACTCCTAATAAGCAGGATGGCTTTGCATTGACATGGCTCTGATCCCCACCCCATCTACTGTCCCTCAAATAAAGCAATAAAACAATTTGCCTGTGGAGGAAACGGTGAGTGTGGTTAAAGCGATGAGCTTGCTCAGTGTTACTGAGATGGAATGCTGTATTTAGGACCCTTTTTGAACAAGGCTGTGTTTGTACAGTAGAAGCTCTTGATATGCGATAGCTGAATGAAGGGGAGAAATGGTGTTTTTAGATTTCCAAAATAGAAGGAGCTGTGGTTACTATAAGTTAAAGCTGAAGGAGTTTATAATTGGGAACTGTTAGGAATACAGTATGTTCTAAATTACAGCTGTCTGGCCAGTATGCTTCTAAATAAAGTTCTAGGATTGCCCTGTAAATGAAATATTCAACACATATTCTTTTCAAAACATAGCAACATCTCCCAGAGAGCTTACATCTCAACATCTGTCGCAACAGCATCTTTTTTTTGTGTGTTCATTTTTTTTCTCCTTCTTAGTGTCTGTGATGTACTCAATGCAGGATCCCAGGGAACATTCCATGTTTCCTATTAAGTAAAAGCAGTTTTCAACTTTGGGGAAAGAGAGGCAGGAAGGGAGATGGCTTGGAAACTTCAGGGAAAACAGGTTTTGAAAGGTGAAGAAATCTGTGATTCCAGAAGTGTGCATTAATGACTGCCTGCTCCTTCAAGGCTGTTACCTGAGCCTGGAGGTGGACATTTGGACTCCCTTGGAGGATACTGAGGACATTTGTCCTGGGACACTCTGGTTAAGAAATGTCGTACATAATGGCTGATGAGGGAAGGGAGGCATTTTCACAGCTTGCAATGGAGCTGGGGAGTGGTTCATAGTGCAGAAGCAAATCAGGATTCCATCAGGAATGTTCATCTTATATTGAAAGTTCCTTCACCTTGTCGTGCTTTTGGGATGGCTTCTGAGGAGTCTGAAAGGGAGCTTCAGATTGGAGCAACTGGAGGGTCTGGAAGAAGAGGAGCCTGATGGAAATATGGAAAACCCCCTGTATTTTGCAGAGCTAAATATTGTTCTTCCTATAGAAAGAAAAATCTCCCCTTGCCTCCCACTTGCACTTCCTCTGCTATGGAGCTGTGAAAATGCCATACATAATGGTGTAATTAAGCAAAAGCCCTGAGGAACCTGGTGTCCTTTGTGAAAGGAGGTTGTTGTGCTGCTGCCTTCCTCCTGAAAATGTGAGATTTCTGAAAGAATATTCAAGCCCTGAATCAGAGAATGGAGGCTAGAGAGCTCCAGAGTAAAAATACCTTGTAGTTTTATGGTCCCTGGTAGAAGATATTTTGAAATGGGGGTGTTATGCTCTCTCATACCAGCTTGCTGGGGAAACTGCTGGAGTGTACTTGGGTTAAATAAAGAGGAAAGCTTCCTGGGGTAAGGGCTTATTCTTATGCTACATCCTTAGAAAAACTGCTTCCTCGGCCAGCCTGGAGATGGGTCTCCATCCAGGTGGCTAGAAGAGAGACTGCTTGTGCAGCACCTGACTTCTGCAGAAGGGGGGGAAAGGGGGGTCCCGGGGCAGGAGTCTCACACCTCTGAGCCCCTCAGCTGTCACCTTTGCTTGGGTGCAGGAGTGGCAGTGCCCTGGGAGCTTTTTTGTCCTTTTGGATGGCATTAATATAAGGTCTTATTAATCAATACACAAGCATCCCCTGCGAACACAGTGCTGTGCAGAGATGCTGGTACGATGCCGATCGATCGTTTTGCTCAAATTGGTTGTTGAAGTATCTGCAATACCCTGTTCAGCTTTGCCTTTTTTAAAAAAACCCACAACAACCAGTATTTAGTGCTTTCAAGGATGGCCGTGAGTTCTGAAAAGCATTTAACTTAAGCAGTAAAAACATGTCTAGTGTTGAGATACGGTGGGGAGTGCTGCCCTTCTTCACGCACGGGAAGGCTGAGGCTGTGGTGTGGTTCTGTTGTTATTTTATCTCTGAAATGGGGTGTTGACTGTGGTAATTCACTGACACTGCCTTTGTTAATATCTTTATTTCTGTGTTTTTAATGAAAGCTTGGTAATTTCATGCTGCAAGGAAGGGCAATGTAGCGTCAACTGTTTTAAAGCCATCTTTGGTTTGAACTACAGTAATCTTCTGATGCGGTGGATAATACAACTTCTGCTTGTGTAGTTGGTTTTTGTTGCTTTTGTTCAGGGATTTTTGAGTTTGTCTTAAATGAGTTACCTCTACACCTCTCAGCGATTGATAGAAAGGCCAGGAAAATCTCCTTTTGTGTATATTAAAACTCAAGATTTACATCAAACAAAAACCCAATGGGTGAAAAAGGGATCCTTGCTTTATATTGTCACCTCAAATATTTCTTCTCTGTGAATTCCAGACATCTTGATTTAGCCTTGTGTGTTTTAACTGTTTAGTAGTGAAACTTCTACAGTGTGGAGAGAAAAACAACATCCTTGTAGGCAAGGCAGATCTGTGGCAGGCTCTTGTGCTGCTTTAACTATCGCTGTTTTGCAAATGTGCCTGGACACAGTGGTGAATTAGCTGCCTGGGCTGGAGAAAATGTGTCTTGTTGATGTTTCTAGCCTGCAATAATGCAATGGCAGGACACGTTTCTGCAATGCTCAGTGGAGAGGAGGGGATGGCTAGAGCAGAGCAGGCAATGGCTTCATGGTTGTGCTGAAGGCCTGAATTTACACACTTGCTTTTGGTGCAAGGTGTAAGGCAGAGTCCTTGGTCTCCTCAAAACCTCGCTATGGATTTTGATGGCTTTTTTCCCTCCCTACATTGCAGGCTACTCCCTGTACCCCCTGGCCCACTGTAACACATTACATTCAGCTTGCCTTCATTTTAATTTCTATTCTTAAAGAGAACTATCTTCTGTGCTCTTTTTTTTTTTTTAAAACTGTTTTTTCTTTGGCCAAGTACAAGCGGGTGGTGTCACAGTCCATTTCTGAGTTTCCTCTTCCTTCTGGCCTCTTCTCCAGGGTTGCCGGCCGCCCTCCCCCTGCTCGGGTGGGAGGTTCTCCAGCACAACACCCAGCTCCAGCAGCCTCCTGCTCCTGCCTCCCATAAATGCCAGTCTTTCACTTGAATCCCTTCCAGCTGATCTCTGCTTACAGATGTTCCTGCGAGTTGCTCCGACAGTTTTACTGGGAGCTTGAGCAGATACAAGGATTGCCAAGAGTTTATGCTTAATTGTTAAGTGGAACAGAGACAAACTACTTTTATTTTGAAGCTAAAATTTCAACTTTTATCGTGCTGTCTGGGCCAGCTGTATCATATGGTTTGACATAGGCTGAGCTCAGAGCTCCTGCACCTAGTATTGCACTATCACTTCATTAGGGTTTTCCCCCCTTATTCCATTTTTCCCTCCCCTCTTTTTAATGACGCTGTTTGTAGACACCCTTTTGAGGTTGGTTGTACCAGGTCGGGTTGTCTTATTAATCCCAAAAGGGAAAAATAGTTTCCCTTCAGCTCAGCAGATCGGATCTCGAATGCACTTGCAGTTGGACACTGCACACTGAACCAGTTTAACCCGTGTGCCTTCATCCCAGCACTCAGAGGTCGGGCGCTTCATTAAGCAAAACAAAATCAGCACGGGAGCGGCCCCAAGCCACGCAGCATCCCTCCCTGTCCCTCCTGCCTCTCCTTTTCCTGCGGGCAAGGGCTACTCTTGAAGGCCACTGAGACAGAACACCTCGCTCTATGGTTTAAAAGGCTTTTTTTTTTTTCAGACAAGCGATCAGTTTTGAGGCCTGGCACCCTGTCAGAAAGTTGACAGATGATCTGCATTACCGGTGCGTCCCCGGGATGCCCGGGATAATCGCGCTCCAATGGACGCCCTGGAGCCGGCAGGTTCTCTGTGAAATGGCTGCAGCTTGGAGGGAGCAGTGAAATGGTCTCCTCTGGGCATGCTCACTCTGTAGAGGGAGCTTTTATCACATGAGCAGAAACTGAATCACTGCTCATGAGGATCTGGAATATGCAACTCTTTGAGTCTTCACCAGAAGAAGACAACAGATGTCCGCAGGTACAGCAGGGTCCACCTCCCATGCCTCGCACAGAGCAGCTCCCCGCCGGCCCTGGCCGCAGGCAGGCTGTCTCCCGCTGGGGAAGGAGAAGCTTTGGAGAGGAGGAAGATAGTTCGGGGAATCTAGCTGGGGGTTATTTATTTATTTATTTCTATACACATGTATTTTCCTACCCCTGAGCGTGGGAGGGCACGTGGGGTGCTGGGGAGCGGGCCGGAGGAGCCTGGCCAGGCTCCCTCTGTGCTGTGGTGATTGTTGCCTTGTGCTGTGCCACGGGCGTGCAGGTACCTCGGCATCCGACCTCGCCTGGCTCCGGGAAAGCTCGGGCTTTTGTTCCCTTGCGTCTGGGTGGTCTTTTATTTGTCTTCTGGGATGGGGAGGCTTGTTTGGGGTTGATTTTTTTTGTTGTTTTTTTTTGTGCTTTTTTAAAAAAATGTTTTTAAACTGTGAAGTTTCTGGAAAATTCTCCCAGGAGCCGTCCCTGCTTGCAGCTCTTGTAAGCAAGAAGAGCAAACCCTGGGATGTCCGAGCTGCTCGAAGACTGAACTTCCAAAGGGGAGGAGAGGGCCTGTGGCCTCATGGCACCTCCTGACTAGTTTTCCTTTGACAGCCTCTGTTTGCATCAAGCAAGCCTACAGCTCACTTCTTTGGATGGAGGCAAAAATTAACAGTATTTTACCAGGAAGAAACAATCCTTTTTATTTTGGGGTGACTTCTTCCCCTCTCTCTTCTTTTTTTTTTTTTAATAGTAGCTTGCAATCCAAGGCAACAGCTCATTAAAACAAAACATCCGTGGTTGATTTCATGGCAGGAGGCCCATGTCTGCAGCTTATTTTAAGTTACCTTATATTCAGACTCCTGGCCCTGCCATGCTCTTGTTGGGTTTTTTTTCTGTCATTTGTGTTGCATGCAGACAGCTCTGTTGGCTGCCACAGACCCTGGTGGGACTTGGGATGGGCATTGAAGTTGCCACAGCCACGGGGGGTCTGGGCACCCCTGCCAGCAGGCAAAATACTGGCCTGAGCTTGCTGTGCTCCAGGGAGACCCCTGAAATTGCCATGCAGACACGATTATTGAATTTTCAATCGAGGAGTGAGACGTGAAGATGGCATTTAAAAGACTAGGGAGCTTACAGGATGATCTGTGATACCTGATCTAAATATCTATCGTGTCTTCACTGAATTATAAATATGTCTAATATTCAGCATCTAGAAGATGTGTGCTAAAGGAAAAGGCATCAGAAGAAGACATAAGGAGAGAAATGAGATTTCTTTGTAACAGTGAAGAGCAGAGGCCTTCTGCCTGATCAGCTCCCATCCATGGGAAAAAGTGTTCTTTGGGTTCAGTGAAGACTGAGGAAAACAAGCAACCAAAAAAACACTGAAGTGTGCAAGGTGTGCTCCTGTGTGGTGGTGACCACGATGACACCGGCCGAAAACACCTAATGCTCCATCCCTGCCAGCTGATGCCCTTTGAAAGCGTCTGCAGAGAGACGCTGAAAAGCCTGACCTACTTTGGAGGGAAGAGAGAAACCCGAGGTCTGGACTTCGTGCTGCTTTTCAGCAAGGGTTAAGAGCCCCAAAGTGGGGCCTTGGGATCTTGGGGTTTTTCCCCTTCACGTATTTAACTGACTTTTAAGTGCCAGCACGAGCTCTTCCCTTCTCCCCAGGAGCATGTTTGGGCAGAGCTTGGCTCTGCAGCACAGATGGGGCATATTTTCTACTAATCAGCCCCTGTTAGACAAACCCTGGGCCTGGCAACAGGGGTGCAGGAGCAGGCCTATGACCTGGAGGCTTGGACTGCAGTGGTTGTCCAGGGATGCCTTTTGCCAGCACTGGAGCCCAGCTCCCCTCACCTCTCCCACACAGTGCCGTCTTCTAAGGAAAGAGGATCATGTGCACCTCGTGCAATGGCAGGGAGCTATTTCTTTCAGGTAAACAAGAAGTTTCAATGAGCTTCATCCTCCTGGCCAGCTGGTTTGGGGGAGAGTTGGGTTGATTCCTGCTGCTCCTCTTTGTTGTCCTTTTGCTGCTTTTCCCTGAAGTTTTTCCTTCTCCCCTTCCCACTCCTGGAGCTGAGAGTGGTCAAGAAATCACTGCAGAAGGAGAGTTACCTTGCTTTTGGTTCAACCGAAAGGCTCTGGGCTCTGACAGCGTGCGCTCCCTGCTTGTGAGGCTCTGAGGACCATATGTTCCTGCAGCGACATGTAATGTCAGTGATTTGGAAACGAATCTTGAATTTATAGCCCTTAACTACCATTTTCAGCCACTTATTTTTAACTCCTGTGAATTTAGAGTTTTGACACTAACCCCTCTTTGCAGAGGAGAAGACCCTTATGTCCCCTCATGTTTCACTTGGTCCTGTGGGATTCGTCCCTCCCTGTGCCTATGTGAGCAACTTGGTCTCTTGGGTGGAGGAGGGAAGGTCTGGCTTTGCTGTACGGTGGAGTTGGTCTTGGAGGGGGGCAGAGGAGGAGGATGGGCAGCGGGCAGCACTGCCTGCCAGGATTTACAGTAGTCAGGAAAGCAGCAGGAGCAAAGCTCGTACACTGTACAAGCTAATTGGAAATTATCCTTAAAAAAAGAAAAAAAGAGGGGAAAAAAATGTGGAGCAAGCTTTTTTAAAAAAAATATTATCAGATCCAACATAACAGCTTGCTTCCCCCAAATCAGGTAAATTATTAATCTTTTTCCTTCAGTCCCCATCAGTAGGGGAAAGGCTGGTGGACGTGGTGGAGAAGGGTCGAGGCAGCGGGGGTTAAGAAGATCTAACGTGCAAGCGTCTTCCCTGCAATGCTGCCATACTGTGTCGGAGCAGCACAGTGCCTCTTGCAAAGGAAGCTTTTCACAACTTGTCCTTGTTCCAAGGATGAGGAAACCTCTAGCTCTTCTGGCATTTTCTCTCCGTCATAAGTCAGAGCTGCTTTCACCTGTAAAGTATCATCAGCACGGACAGGGAGAGGACTGAAACGGACAGGGGCTCGGAGCAACCTTGCAAGGCTTTTCATGGAGCTCTTGGTGTTAAACGAGGAACTTTTCCCCTCCTCCTCTCCTCATTTTCCTGTGTGCCTGCAAAAATACTCTGGTTTGCATTTAAAGGAGAAAACTGTATGTGCTGGGACTAAGCCAACTTATTTATTCAAGGGAAATACCATATTTCCAACCCTTTCTCTCACGGAGGAAGGCTTGACAGAGGATGGCAGACTGGGCTGGGTATTATATTTTTAGGTGACATCGAAGCATGGTTGTGATTTGAAGAAGCTAAAAATCATGGCTGGCATTTTGCATCGAGCTCTGTGAGACCTCTCCTCCCCACTCCCCCCAACACCCAAAGGGGTTAACTTCTCCTTCCAAAACAGGTGAATTTTGACCTAAATCAAGGACGGAAAACAAAACAAAACAAAACAACAAAACCACCACCACAAACCCACAGCCTGCTACTTCCTACACTTTTGCAACTTCCCTTCTCCAAAGCGGATTTTTATTATGAGGGGCTGGGGGGGCCGCGAGCGGTGGGGAGGCAAACACCCGCTCCTCTCCTCCTGTCAAAAAATGGCAGGTCAGTGTGTGTCTGTAAACAATGCAGTTATGAAATGGCAGCGCCAGGCCGAGCTGAGCATGCTCGGGAGCAGCCTGTAGGGGGAGGTGAGCCGAGAAAGATGATCTAATTCAGTGCAATTCTTGGGATTGAAGGAAAAGACCAGGCTCCACTCTTAATGACAGAGCAGAAAAAAAAGGCCCCACGCCGGGGACGAAGCCCGTAGGCCATGGAGGAGAGGGTGTGAGGATCTCCCACCTCTAGGACTTCGGGTGCTGGGCAGCGCTGTGTCGCTTTCTCACCCTCCAGGAGAGTAAAGCCTTGGTGAGGTTTTGCTGTAGTTATTAGAGGGACAGGCCCGAGGGTGCAAGTTGGTTTTTTTTTTTTTTTTTTTTGTCTTTTGTCTTTTTTCCATCCCCCCTCCCTGTCCGCTTTTTCCAGCTCTCAGGCGTTGCTGTCTTGCTGCTGGCCTCTCGATGGCTGGAGGTGACCCAGACGGAGGTGGTGTGGGCAGCTGAGCGAGGGCCTCCAGGTCCCAAGGGAAGCCCATGCGGGGCTTTCCCCCCTCCACCGACCTGATGAGCCCTTCTGCCGGGCGCTGTCAGACAGGCAGGGGCAGAGGGACCTGCTCCACTGGCTGTGGTGGTTTGGGGGTGGGAGGAAGAGGAGTGCGGAGGCTGAAGAGGTGTCTGAGCCCTGTTGGTGGGGGTGAGCTGCCTTCCAGCTCTCATTCCCCAGGCTGATACAACTTGCTTGCTCGAGGGTCCTCTTGGTGCTACAGTTTTATCCTGGCTAAGCCTTCCTGGGGGCTGGGTGTTTCTGAAATGGCTGGTTTGCTTTTGCTAGAGAGAGTGATGAATCTTGGTCTCCATTTTAGGGTTTTCTTCCCCCCCTCCCCTCAAGGGTGCTAGGAGAAGACAGGCAGCATCTGTACTCCTTGCTAACCTCAGCCTGTGGAAGGAGATGCCTTTGTCTGCTCTGGATTTACACTTGCCTGCACATACAAATTGCACTGGCTTTAACTCTACTGGGACACAAGCTAGATGGGTATGATGCTTCCCAGCATGGAAGCAGTGAGGAAGTGTAAATCGATCTCCCCTTTACTGGAGGGCATGGGCTCTGCAAACCCCCCCTTGCCTGAAGCCTGCACGCCAATGTGGATTGTGAATGCATTGTCTTACAAGAAGTCATTTTAAGTCCTGTTGTGTTTCATGCACGTGTCTCCTTGTTCGCAGCTGTTGCATGCAGGGACTTGCGCCTCGTTCCTATCCTTCCCCCTGTTTTGGGAGTTGATCTATGTGGCTGGAATAGGAGACAGGACGTGGGGGTCGAGAAGGAAGTGTTTTTTTTTCTTTTAGGAAGAGTCTGCATGAAAGGAATTCAGGAGACAGAAGAATTGCAAAGGATTTGATTTGGGGACAAACTTCAGGCGGAGGGCAGTGCTTGTTGTGAGCTGCAGATAAAATTCCATGTTCACATGATTGCATGAGGCTTATAAGGAAGTGGCCTTAACCTAAAAAAAAGGAGCTTTGAGACTGGTGACTGCTTTGTAGGCCAGGTAGGCTGGTGGTGACGTTTCCTTCCTTCTCCAGATCAAATGCTTCTGCTGCTTCTAATGACAGGCCCATGGTCAGTGTCCCCACAAGCAGTGATCCCAGACCTTGCCCATGCACAGCAGAACCTGAGCAGTACCAAGATCTGAAAAGAGCAGCCTTTACGTGCCTACAAAAGAAACATTATCTTTCTACAAGCATTTTCTTAGTCATTACTTCCTATATAATTAAGTACAAAATGTTTGTCTTATCTTTAAGGCAAAGGTTATTATGAGCAAGTTGGTTTGGGTTGTGGTGTTGCTTTTTGTTTTTTTAGGAGAAAAGGGGAGGAAAAAAATGAGTGAATGAGAATCTGATGCTGCTAGGGTTGCATCATTTATTGAGAGCTTTATCTCTGCTTTGCTGCAGTGTGTATTGCAAACCTCGCCACCACCTTTCACAGGAAAGGTGAAGTCCTGCCCAGCTGAAGGGCTGGCAAGAGCTTTGCCTGAGCCCTGGCTCTGCTGGGGAGCTGGTGGTGGGGTGCGTGGGGAGCGGTGCCCGGTGGTGTCACCTCTGTGGGGTTGGTGTCCATCTCCCGGCTGGAGGCTTTGCAGGCCGGGCAGGATCAGTCCTGTCCATCCCGCTGGCTCTGCAGGCAGATGTGTTGGTGCAGCAGCTGCCCCGAATGGGAGCGAGCAGAGTTTCAAAGGGGTCCTTCTGCTCCCAGCTCTTTCAGATCGACCTGTTTCAGCTACATGGCTCCAATCAGAATAATGCTGCTGCAAAGCCTCAGGTTCCTAGACGGTTGATTTTTAAGACAAAAAAAAAAAAAAAAAAAAAAAAAAAAAAAAAAAAAAAAGACCCTGGTGAAGGTAGACATCTTAGCACATCAACCTCCGCTCCTTCCTGGTCTGCCTGGAGAGAGCTCTGGTTCATGATGTAACTCACTGGTCTCTTGGGCTTGGTAAGCTGCAATATGTTGGAGTTTTGCTGTGCATGTATTGTCTTTGCCTATAAAACCTGTTTGGACCTTTTTGAAGGGCACCCGGATGGCTGATGAAAATGCCAAGGAGGAGGCTGAGAAAGCTCTTTCTGTGTTTCCCAGCTTTGTTCTTTTTCTCTTCTTTTGTTTTTTTTGTGGGCTTTTTTTTTTTTGTTTTAAAGGCACCACTGTAGTTTCTAGTCATCGTCTGTTTGGAAATGCTGCAGAGCCTTTCCTTGGCTGGTCTGACCCGTCTTCCATCCTCTCCAAAGACCTCACGGAGGAAAGGAAGCCTGTTTTCTTGTAAACAGAGGTGGAGAGGAAAGGCTAAACCAGTACTAGCTCCTCTGCTTGGATCCTCATGGCTTTTAAAGCCCTTTCAAAGACCTAATCAGTCATTCTTAAGATGCATTAATTTTTTCTTCCCCTTGAAACTTAAAAATAAAAAGGTTGAGGGGGGGATAATGCTTCATTGCTGGTGGTGTGTACTCTTTATGAAGGCTCTCCAGCCACGGAAGGTTAATAATCAGTCTGGGGTCGGTGAGGGAAGGAGGCAAACGGCTGCGGGAAAGTGGGGAAGGAGGAAAAAAAAAAATGGAGAGAGTGAGACTTTTATTGTGAAGCAGCCTGTGCTTGGCAGTTGGCTTTTGTTGGGACTGCTGCAAGAGCAGACATTTCTCGGCGGGGAGGGTGGGTATAGGATTTCCCTGCCAATCGGGAGCCGACGGATTGGGGCATGGGGAGAGTGAGCAGAAAGGGAAGTTTGCTCTGAATTTAAGGGAGGGGAGGGAAAAAAAACCCAACACACACACAAAAATGGAGGTATTGACACTTGCGGTGAAGTTGTGCTAAGTTGGCTGGGTGGAGCCGTGGGCTGGTGGGAATGAATGGGCAGCGCTGCCCGGCTGGCGGTGGGTGCCCAGTGGGTGCCCATCGGTGCTGGGTGCTGGGTGCTGCATCTGCCGGGTGGTGATGGAACAAGGAGGGGAAGAGCGCTGGCCTGGGGGGAAGAGGCTTCGAGCACTTTGCAGGGGTTTCCTGTAGTTTCCTTTTGATCAAAATGTCTCAAAATTCACAGTTGGCTCTTTGTTTTTCAGTATTTTATTTTCTACCTTGATGCTGAGTCTTTTGTTTCAGAGCAAGGCATGGAAGTTTTAAAGCTGCCGCCGCTGCTAGCAAGGGATGTTTCCTCTGAGATAGGACCCAGGAGAACCCGTCAGGTGCCACCTCAATTAGCCTTGTCTTGGCACCCAGCTTTTTTACTCTCACAGGAAAATAGCGATGGTTTCTCTCTTGCCTCTCTTAGCATTGGAAATTCTGCTTTGAGAGCTCCTGCCGCTGGCCAGGTCCTGCGCCAAGCTCCTGGTAATTGCAGTGAGGAAGGAGGGTAGTTGTTAGCTGCCAAGGTGTGATTGACTCCAGGGTTCCTGCACTGGCTTTCCTTCAGGCGTCATGGGCTGAGCAGCAGCAACACCTCTGTGGAAGGGAGAATGTAGGTGATTTGTGGAGTGGGGGTACTGCTTATAAAATAAAAGATTAACTTAGAATTGCATGGCTAAGAATAACCTGCTGGAAATCCTGGGGCTTCGAGCTTGAGTCAATTTAATAGCAGGAATATCAAGACTTTTCCTTGTTGCAACAGAGGTTGGGAAAACAAGCTGGTCCCTGTTAGACAGACTGAGGCTCTTTATTTGCTGCCAGTGTCTGTGGCAAGGGTCTGGGTGCCCCTTCCAATGTGTGGGAGCCGTGGGGCTGCAGTTGAGCCTCGTCTCTCTGCAATTCTCTTTGCATTAGTCTTGCAGCAGGAAAAGTCCATGAGAAAAATGAAGTTATTCCCAGTTTACAAGAAGTCCGGCTAGAGGAGAGGTAGGGTTTTTAAGTAGATGTTTGCAGCAAGGATATATATTATTGGCTTAGCAAATTAAAAAAAAAAAAAAAAAAAGTTGATCTATGTTCAGTCTTTGGGCTGTGTTTTTCTTGATGGAAGCTGTTGGCCAGTGTCTGTTCTGTTTCAGGCTATCTGATCGGTTGGCTGAGCTGAGGTTTCAGATGCTTACAGCTTGGTTTTTGGTCTCTGTCTGAAAATCTGAAGGTGGTGTGCTTGGGGCACAGGTTCCTTCTTGCTGAGAGCATCTAGATGTGGCAGTGTTTACTGTTTGCTTGTGCTTGGGGGCCCGCAGCCACCCACAACCACCTTCCTCCTTGCTAGAGGAGCAATCCTTGAAGGTGCTCTTCCTCCGCATGGGCAGGCCTGGCAGGCCGTGGAGCCTTTCCCAAGAACCTGTGCCCAGCCTGCGTCCCTCGAGTTTCCTCCTTCCATCAGCTGCCTGTGGCTTTGCAGATAGTGGCACGTGGGTGCAGGGCACGGTGGTGCAGGCACCAAGGGGCAGGGACCTGCTGCTGAGTGAGCCCTGCCTGGCTGCATGGGCCGGGGGGCTGCTGAAATTGGGGTGAGGGAAGACCCCGTGCTGCAATACCTGCTGGCACCTGGAATTGTGGCTGCGTTCACATGGAAACAGAAAGCACAAGGTGGCTGGTAACAGCAACACCAAAGCTCATCTCCCCTGCTAGCGTTGGACAGAAACCGAGGTGGGGAAGGGCGAGCTGCTGCTGGGAATGGTTTTGGAGCTGATATGCTGGGCTTCGCGTGTGCGTCTTATCTCTTTTGCTTGCTTTATGGGTGATGGGGACGTTGTTTTTGTTCTTTCTTTATCACTCAGGGCGCTTTAAACCTTGTGATTTGCATGGCTGCAGGCACCATCTGCTCTCTGTGCTGGCCTACAACAGTTGGCTTGACCTGGGCTTATTCTTCTCCTGTGACGCAGGCAGTGTGCAGTGAACCCCTCACCCGGCCTGGCCCCGGCCCCATCACACGGCAGCTTTGCAAGGCTGTCGCCATCTTTACTGTACAGACCAGCTTGTCTCTTAAACACAGAGCTGTGTCAAAGGACTCGTCTTCTCTGTGTGTTTGTGGTTTTTTAATATCTTTTTCCTGTTTTTTTGTTTTGTTTTGGTAGCTCTTTTTGTCTTGACGCTTTAAAAAAAAAAAAAAAGAAAGAGAAGGTATTAAGGCTGCAAACCGATCTATCAACATGACTCCAGGCGTGTGAAAGGCAGAGAAGATGAGCAGGTGTTCCCTTTTTACAAAAAAATTTAGAAAAAGAGAGGAAAAAAGAAAAATTACTTTCTATAGAATTAAAAATAGAGCTCATTAACTTTAATAAACATTGTTGTTAACGAATGATGAGTTAGCTGTAGCTCACTGATGGTTTGGATTTTCTAAGTTACATTTCAATGAACTACAAAAAAAACCCCAAAACACCAGAAGCATACTTGGACTGTAAAAGTTGATGAGTGATTGTATAATGAGAAGTTTGATCGATCTGCCTTCCCCCACCGAAAACCTAAGAAGTTTTGGGGAATAAGGATCACCTCCTTGCGATGCCTTTCATGACCATTTTAATCTGTGCCTCTACAGACATACTCAGCTGCATTCTCAAGCGCGTTACACTCAGAAAATCTGTCTGACTGCATCTTAACCAAAGAGCTGTGAGGTCTCAGCCCTGGGCGCAGCTCGACACCCCTCAGCTTTTGGGCGAGATGGGCTGTCAGCAGGGGCAAGCCTTGGTGTTTTTTATCTTTGACCTGTGTCTTGGTGGCAGTTTTCTGGCAGCGTTATTTTGCAGAATGAGGTTTGCCCGTGATGTAAACAGGATGTGTCCATGATTGTCTCTTCTTTTAAATGCAACGTGTATGAACAGATGCAACATGTGTATGAACATTGAGCTAAACCGTGATATTTCCTTTTTTTTTCCCTCCCTGTCCCTTTTCTCCCCACCCCTAGCGAACAGTGCTGAGTAAAGGAGAGACAAGGAAAGACGCCTGCATGAAGACTGAGCTGCTGAAAGATATTACCAACAACAAAGAGGAAGGTGAGCACCTGCCTCGGTTGAGGGCCAGACCTTGCTCGTGAGATCAGCACGTGATGGGAACAAAACTGGGCGCTTGGAGATGTGCTCTGTCCCCCAAGGGTCACAGGTGTGCTCCCATGAACAGAATGGCTCCCTTCTCCCGTGTTTATTCTGAGCTGGGCTCTTCCCCAGGAGATGCAAATTTGCTTTTCAGTCCATCCGTCTCCACCCACCTAAAGAATATCTATTTTCACTTCTGCTTTGGTGTGGCTGTGAAATGCAAAGGAGTTACTTAGAACCTCCTCTGTGTGACTGGTTTTAACTGAACTCTGATCCCTGCCACATGATGACCTAGCCTTTTTCCTCCTTCTATTAAATTTAACTTTCTGTTTTCCTGTGAGTTTCTTTGTTGCTCCAGAGCAGGCACCGATTGCTGCAGGATGGCTGGTGGGGTTAGACACTCCACACCTCATGCCGTTGTGGGATGCTTTGTGGCTTCTGTGTTGTGTCTGCTTGCTTTTACTTTGCAGGATGCAGTGCACATGTTAATTTGACGAAGTCTTTCCTGTGTGGTTGTCTGTGAGTTGCATGCACACAAATCTGAGGACTTAATAAATGTGTCAGTGGGATTAGGAAAAAAAAATCCACCACCCTTTATCTTTCTCACCCCGTCCTTTCTTTCCATGCTTTATTATTCCTTGACTAGTTACTTCTTGTAGCTCTGCAGGGATTTGGTGTATTTTTGTTCTCCTTTCCATAATAGACCATTAGAAAAGCACTGAACTGGCCCCATCAAAATACCTAGTCTTGGCTAGAAACAGAATTTTGGACTTAATTCAGATGTGTGTGAGTACAGCATTGCTTTTTCTTTCTCTTCTGTCCAGCATAATGTTTTGTCAGGCTGCTCTAGTCAGAAAGTAAAGCTCAGAACTGGCAAAATATTGAATGCTGCATCAGATGTGGCTGCAGTGCTTGCATATTAACTGGGAGCACGTGAGTGCTGCTGCTGACACTGGTTGCATATGGACCTCTGCTCTGGGCAGACCAGAGATGAAGTCTAAGATATCAGTGGGAGTTCCTGTTGCTCTGGGAGGAGACTCTTGCTTTGATCCCTTGCCTTGCTTGGCTCAGGACTGTAAAGCTAGTTTATTTGGCTTTTGATTGATCAGAGGTGTCAAGAGTCTATGGAAGTAAAAATCCAGAAGGAGGGTAGGAAGAGAGGCATTTCTGCACCTTGTATGTCTTGACTGATTTTGACTTAAAGCAAATGCTGTGTATCAAAAGGAAGCTGAGAACTCTCCCTGTGCAGGAACAGTCTTGAGGCTTGATAAAATGCTCAAATTCCAACCACTTCAGCTTATTTTCCAGTTCTGTTGCTGGAGAAAGAAGGGTCCTAAAATGTGAACTGCATAGTCTCCATTCTTGTGGTAATGTTCAGATTGTATCCTTCTCTCCCCAAGCATACCATGTGTGTAAAAGACAATGGTTTGCGTGGTCGTTGTGCTATATGCATTGTTCCTCACAGACCTTTGTTACCCAGCTGTGATCATCATGGGAATTCAATTAGTTAACGTTCCTAAAGTCTGTTAATAACAGTGTTTAGCATTGGCAAATAATTTACATTTTTGAGTGTTGCGTGAACATGAAATCATTATATCAGAGTTGTGAGATGGCATGAAATAGTTTCTTTTTGCTCTGTTTTCCTGACTCATAGATGGGTCGCAGCATATGGAGGTGGACTGTGTGGACTTGGAAAAGCACCCTGAAGTCTGATATTTCTCTTTTTAAGTTTGCTTGAATGGTCATTTTCCTTTAGCAAGGAGGGTGAGACCAGTACTATTTAACATCTTCATCAAAGACATAGACAGCAGGATCAAGTGCACCCTCAGCACATTTGCAGACAACACCAAGCTGATTGCGGTGGTTGACAACGCTTGAGGGTCAGGATGCCATCCAGAGGGACCTGGACAAGCTCAAGAATTGAGCCTGTGTGACCCTCATGAGATTCAGCCAGGCCAAGTGCAAGGTCCTGCACATGGGTTGGGGCAACCCCTGGTATTAACAGGCTGGGGGACGAAGGGATTGAGAGCAGCCCAGCCGAGGGGGACTTGGGGGTACTGGTGGATGAAAAGCTGGGCATGAACCAGCAATGTGTGTTTGCAGCCCAGAAAGGCAACAGTGTCCTGGGCTGCATCAGGAGAAATGTGGCCAGCAGGTCGAGGGAGGGGATTCTCCCCCTCTATTCTGCTCGTGAGACCCCCCCTGCAGTGTGTGTCCAGGGGCTATGGGGGCACCAACATCAGAAGGAGATGGACCTGTTCAAGTGGGGCCAGAGAGGCCACAAAGATGATGGGGGGGTGGGGGGGGTGGCGGGGCTGGAGCACCCCCTGTGAGGACAGGCTGAGAGAGTTTGGGGGTTCAGCTGGAGAAGAGAAGGCTCCGTGGAGACCTTAGAGCGGCCTCCCAGGGCTGAAAGGAGCGACAGGAAAGGTGGGGAGGGGACCTTTATCAGGGGGGAGAGATAGGACAGGGTGTAACGGTTTTAAACTGAGAGTAGGTAGATTTAGATTAGAGAGAAGAAGTTCTTTCCTGTGAGAGTGGTGAGACACTGCCACGGGTTGCCCAGAGAGGCTGGAGACACCCCATGCCTGGAAGGGTTCAAGGTCAGATCAGACAGGGCTCAGAGCAACCTGATCTAGTTGAAGATGTCCCTGCTCACTGCAGGGGGGTTGGACTAGATGACCTTTAAAGGTCCCTTCCAGCCCAAACCATCTATAATTCTATCGTGTCTGGGAATAGGAATCTGCACAAGTCTGCTGGTGCTTCTGGGTTCTAGTTCAGGCTGAGCTGCTGCAGCGGACTGATTTTGATGGGAGCTGTGGCCTGCAGTGTAAGGTTAGATCCCTTCTGGACTTGTTCCCCTTGTGAAAATCCTCTTGGCATGTTGTCTGTTGATATTGAACTTGGGATCTAAAACTTGCAGGGGCTTGAACTTGCAAATCCAGATTGACTAAAGGTGCTGTTTGGGCTAAAGACTTAGTGTGAATTACCATGTTTTTCCCTTTCTACTCCCCTTTGACTCCGAAGGGTACTGACACTGAGGTCAGTATCAAATCCCCATCTGAACTGTGTTAGCATGTCCCACAGCTCCGCAGCTGCCTCTCTGAAGGACCTTTTGTGAGTTACACCTCTGTGTACAAACTTGTGCTTGCTCTGTGTCCAAGATGAGCCAGGAAATTCAGGTAGCTTGCAGCCTTGAATGAGATTTAGGGGTCTGTTGCCCAAGCAAAGCACACTGGCACCACTGCAGGCAGTTGCCTCCACCACGGAAGGAGATCATAATGTTGGAGATGCCCATGAAGATCTCCGGTTGCAGAGAAGGCTCTTACTATTGTGGGGCAATAGCTGAGGTGCCCCAGTTTATAATCTGTCGTTTTGAAGCAGTGCATCCCTTCTCTTGGTTGTCCTCAGCGTGTCAGCCTGTCATTTGTGACAACTCAGTAGCTACTGCCCCAGGGGATGAGTTGTTGGTGCCGTTGGGCTGGGGCAGGGAGCTGGGTGGGTGCTCTTGGGGATCAGCGGGTTGGGGGCCAGGGGGTCCTTGGGTGGGCGGTCGTGGTGGTTTTGTTCTTTGTTCCTCGAGTGGAAGTTGTTGCAGAAATGCACTCTTGTTACCAGCTGGGATGTCATTTTCTGGCTTCATTTTGGCACTGATAAAGTGAAATAATTGAACTAGAAATTTAACATACAACTGTAGGAACAAGATCTTTGTGTGTTCCCAGCACTTTAATTTCCAGTTCTGGCCTTGAGTCCCAGCCTGCGTAAAGCCCAGCGTAAGTTGTTCACTAGACTCAGCGTCCCCTTCTGTGTAAAACTGCTCAGTACAGATAGAAAAACAGCTGTGGATGAGACTGTGTTTTGTTGTCCGTGGGGAAATGTTCCAGTTAAGTTTTACATGTGGGTGTGAGTTCAGGTCCATCTTTCCCTTTGACAGGGAGGGGACAGGGAGGTGGAAGAGATGAGCAGGAAAAAAGTTGCTCTTGTGTTTTATTAGGCCATATTGTCTTTAGTCTGACTTGGAGAGAAACTAATTAAAAAGTGGTTTCTTTGCGAGAATCACTTGCAAAGTGATTTCAATTGCAAGTGATTTCAGTTCTCCTCCTAATATGCATAGCTCCTAACTGTGCTGCATCTCGCTTGACCTTTCAAGGCAAACCACTTCTTTTCTGATTCCCCAGCCCCAGAGATGGAAAGTTCCACTAAAGTAGCAGCATGAAGGAGCAGGGAGGGGAGTTGGTAATGAAGTTCTCCATTAGCCTCGGCGTTTCTGAGTCTTCACCCGAGGCAGCTGTTTCACAAGAGCCCTGGTGCTTGGAGCAGAGTGCTGGATGAGATGTGCACAGTCACTTTGCTCTCAAATGAACTTAAAACTGCTTTTAGAGAGTGTCAGGGTTTTAAATTCCTGGAGGGACCTTCTTTCTCTTTTTTTTGTTGTTGTTTTTTTGTTTCTTTTTCTCCCTTTTATTGCAGATAGGAAGCTGCCACGAGTGAGGAAGGCTCTGCTTTCCACTGAGCAGCTACAACCTTTGCATTCCCAGGTGCAGAAATGGCTGCTTTAAAAGGAGAAAAAGAATAATCTCCTTGCCTCCCCTGCTGAGGCTGACAGCCAGGAGACAGACAAAGCAAAATGATGCTTATGTATTTTAGATATTCAGCCAGATATGCACCCAGGTGCTCCCCGTGTTTGAGACCCCTACTCCGGGGAGGCTGCACCCCGCAGCAGACAGGCTGCCACAGCAGAAGAAATGTGCTTGGAGCCCAGCAGCCCCAGAGCAGGAGCGTCCCTTGGTCACAGATGGGCTTGGGGCCTTGTGGCCAGTGCTGGAACACTGTGGACCCGATCCCACAGCAAAGGAACAAATTAATTTCACTCAGGCTGTTAAACTGCTTTGGGTCACTGCTGGTGTTCACAGGCAACTCACCAGTCAGATGCTGAATCCCATTTACCTGACCTGTGTAAT